GGCAGAAGGCGCTGTGCGCCCGTTCCTCGGCCCGGGTTTCCCGTGGGAACACGCCGGCACTGTCAGGTCCCGGGATACTTGCTCGGCCTAAGGGCAGAGTCCTGCTTAGTAAGAAAATGGGGGCGAGGAAAGTTTTCTGAAAGAAACGTCTACTTAGAGCCTGGCTGTAGTCAAAGCCGTTGTTAATAGCACTGATATAATGACAGGATGACTGATGAAAACTTGCATGAAAAGAAATGCCTTTATTTTAATTTGTGCCCTTTTCAGCATGTTTCCAGAGGCTTCTGCTGCCTGGTCCCTCTGACTTCAGTGGGTTTAATGTGCACCTGTCTTCTCACCAGCTCTCTTAGTTCCTTCAGCTGTGTTTATCTCCACGTGCTTTTCCTGGGTAACCCAGGTGATGTCTTCACAATATCTTGGGCGCGTTGTACTCAGAGCCGAGAAAAGCACCGATTTCAGAATTGAATGGAGTAACACGTTCTGAAGGAAGGAGGCTCCAGATGCAATAAGCCACTCCCGTGAAGTCTGGTAGCCATAGGACAGGCCGTACAACACAATGAGAAACGAGGACAGGGTAGTTATAGCTACAACCAGTGCCCATGAGACAGGCACACACCACCACCAAAGAACAGGCTCTGTGGCCGGGGTCTTACGAAGTTCCCTGATGGTACTGCTTAATGATTTCCTTCGCTTCAGAAAGATGCTCCCATCTGCATAACTACTGGACGACTTTGACCTCCTCCGGGAGGATGTAGCCCCTGGAGGGGATTTCACATCAGTCATCTGCTCCTCTGTTTCAATGACATTTGCAACTTTTTCAGGTAGTACGCAATTATTCCAGAACTCAGGCTTGGCCTCTGGGTACATCTTAGTCACTACAGGAGTAGGTTCCTTCTGGGAATACTTAAATAAGGCTATTATTAGCATTTCCACAGGGATTGTAAGCAAAGCACATTCAATTCCTACTGCTATTGATCTCAAATACCTCAGGTATATTGGAGATTCTTCAATCTTATCAGTGTTAAAGAACATAATGTTAACAAGCAAGTTGAATAATATTACTGCTAAACACGTAGACAACCTTTGGAATCTGGTGAAAGCACCAGTGACAGTGGGAGCAAAAATTGAGAACCACAGATGGTAGTCTATCATCCTCTTGTTAAAGTTAATAAGAAAATAGTCAATTTTGGGTAGGGGTGTTCTGGGGTCTGTGACAGAAAATTTCCACTCTTGTGGGGGATCGTCCTTGGCACAAGAAAGCCATTTTCTGCACATAAAGGACCAGGCCTTCCTGGTGGACGTGTTCTCAATTTCAGCTCTGCTTAAGAACCAGCTTGGAGATGAGCCATCGTTATTAAGCCTGACCCTGAAGGAATGAATGTCTCCCAAGGCTTTCTTAGTGGTTATCAGAAAGCAATCAGTGCTTCCTCGCTGGAAAGCTGGAGAAGGGTGGTGCCATAAACAACGGAATTTACTCTTGCCATCCTCGCCGATGAGCTGCAGAGCGACAGCTGCTTTGGTTCCAGCGTTACAGCGACTGCCTGTGTACAAAGTGACCAAATAGCTCCCTTCATCAGAGGGGCTGTTGTCTGGCAGGACCATAATGTATTTGATCTCTTTCTCAGCTCTGTCTTTTAGT